AGCATTGCCTGCTCTTCCAAAGGTTCTGAGTTCAATTCCCAGCAACCACATGGTGGCTCACAACCATCTGAAATGAGGTCTGGTTCCCTCTTCTGGCCTTCAGGCATACACACAGTTCGAGGCCAGCCTGGTATACAATAACAATTTCCAGGACAGGCTCCAAAAGCTAAGGAGAAACTCTTGTCTCGAAAAATAAATAAATAAAAAAAAAACAAAACAGGGGCTGGAGAGATGGCTCAGCGGTTAAGAGCATTGCCTGCTCTTCCAAAGGTTCTGAGTTCAATTCCCAGCAACCACATGGTGGCTCACAACCATCTGAAATGAGGTCTGGTGCCCTCTTCTGGCCTTCAGGCATACACACAGAAAGAATATTGTATACATAATAAATAAATAGATTTAAAAAAAAAAACAAAACAAAACAAAAAAAACCCAAACAACTCATAGGAATGTACACCAGAACCTGCCCCAACAATGCATGTCTTTGCCATTGTTCTTGGTAAGACCTTTTTGCTGAAGATACCAGGACAGGGAGGAATCTAGTTGGTACTGATCAGAAGGTTCCTCCCTGCTGGTTACTACTAGAAAGTTTTACACAGGCAGTGGTGGAACAGGCCTTTTATCCCAGGACTTGGGAGGCAGTGACCAGCCTCTACAGAGTGAGTTCCAAGACAGGAACCAAACAAAGCTACAGAGAAACGCTGTCTCAAAAAAAAAAAAAACCAAAACACCTCGGGCTGGAGAGGTGCCTGCTCTTCCAAAGGTCCTGAGTTCAATTCCCAGCAACCACATGGTGGCTCACAACCATCTGTAATGAGGCCTGGTGCCCTCTTCTGGCCTGCAGAAAGAATATTGTATACATAATAAACAAAAAAAACTATGATCATAGCCTGAAAACACATTAAAAAAACCTCTAAATTATTCATATATTAATTAGTGCAGCCCTCATTACCATTTCTTCATGGGCAGCAAATGCTGGTTAACACAAAAACTAGTCAAAGTACAGAGAATAAATTTCTTTATAGTCTAGGGGGAAAAATCCTCCTCCAAAGAAAAGGCATAAAGATTTTAAGAGCCAAGTCTGTAGGACTGAACTCTGTAGTCTAGACAGAATAGAACCACTAATCAACTTATAGCTGTTTATCTGCATTCACTTAAATTGATCAATTCCAGCACGGTGAAGGGCTCAAGAGCTCCAATCCTTAGCTGAAGAGTGAGTGTGGCTCCTGGTCTAGAAAGCAGAGGCAGACCCATCTCTAAATTCAAGGTCAGCCTGTGCTACAGAGCTCCAGAATAGGTAAGAGTGCTAACAGAGAAACCCTATCCCAAACACCAGAAACATTATTTCAATCAGGTGGTGGTGGCACATGCGTTTAATTCCAGCACTTGGGAGGCAGGGGCAGGCAAATCTGAGTTCGAGGTCAGCCTGGTCTACAGAGCTAGTTCCAGGACAGGCTCCAAAGCTACAGAGAAACCCGGTCTCAAAATACAAAAACAAACAAAAAAACATTGCAATATCTTGCATGAAAAATTCTCAAGTATTGGGGGCTGGAGAGATGGCTCAGTGGTTAAGAGCATTGCCTGCTCTTCCAAAGGTCCTGAGTTCAATTCCCAGCAACCACATGGTGGCTCACAACCATCTGTAAAAGAGGTCTGGCGCCCTCTTCTGGCCTTCAGGCATACAGACAGAATATTGTATACATAATAAATATTAAAAAAAAATTCTCAAGTATTTTCTTGACATGGTAAATTGTCTTGATGCGGAAGTCCCAGGGCACTCTGGGAAGTAACACTCTTAGGCTGGTGTTCCTGAATACTATAATGAAGCAGGCTGAACAGGTATAAAGAGCAATTAATTTAGTAAGGACTTACTCTTCTATTGTTAATAGTTCCTAACTATCTATGCACCTGTCAATCAAATCAGAGCAGCGCTGGGTTTAAAATGTTCACCACCACAGCCAGCTCAAAGTGCTTTTCTAAACCCCATTTTCTTTCTTTCTTTTGGTTTTTCGAGACAGGGTTTCTCTGTGGTTTTGGAGCCTGTCCTGGAACTAGCTCTGTAGACCAGGCTGGTCTCGAACTCACAGAGATCCGCCTGCCTCTGCCTCCCAAGTGCTGGGATTAAAGGTGTGTGCCACCACCGCCTGTCTTAAAATCCCATTTTCTAAAGTGTCCTCTTCTCCTTTCCCAGTGTGTTCAAACATAACTTCTTTTTGGGAATTCCCAAAGGGGACTAAACCAAAGTAAATATAGCCCACAAGTTTTAGATTTCAATGCACATTAATGCTGTATTCTTCCTTTACCAAATGGTTTCTCAAGGACATGCTAATTTACTGTTAAATAACAAATTCGTGGGTTGGAGAGATGGCTCAGAGGTGTTAAGTTCAATTTAAGTACCCACCATGGTGGCTCAAAACCATTCATAATGAGATTTGGTGCCCTCTTCTGTCCTGCAGGCATACATGCAGGCAGAACACTGTATACATAGTAAATAAAAACCACACAGAAACCCAATTCCTGATTATTTTCCACTCATACAGTACAAGATTAGTAAAATGACAGGTTTCACACATACCAAGGCCTTGCCTTGAATTCAACCTCGAGCAAAACCGTCCCCCAAATGAAAAACACCAATATATTAAGAAAGCTTTATTTGGGATTTCACTATTTAACAAGGTAAAGTCCCGCCTTTTAATCTACAGGATCTAGGGCAGTTCCTCAAAAAACCATCATTAAGAGCCTTACTGTAATCATGCTAAGTGGGTAATGGTTACAAACACCCTTGTCCGGTCTTACCTCCTGAAGTATATTTTAGATCTTTGTGAACCATGAATTGAAAATAAGGGATAGCCTTCGCTGAAGAAGGGGAGAGGCTTGCAGCTGAGAAGGGCCTAGGAGGCTTCATTTTGATAAACAGGCAAAAATCAGGGTATCAGTTGTCATCAAATGTTTTCACATGCCTTAAGTAATCACAGAACTTACTTTCATTCAATGCCTTAAGAAAAATAGAATACATTCTACATCCCCTCAATGTAAAATGTGGGCAAGGGGCATGTCCATTTTAGACACTTTTCCATTTAAACCCAACCTACTGATATAAGCAGTTTCCATTTTAAATGCTGAAAACTGAGAAGCAGGGCCTAGAAATACTATTTTTTGGAAGCTGGAAGGATATAGCTCAGTTCATAGAACGCAGCTATCCTAGTGTGCAGCAAGCCATAGGCTCAGTCCCCAGAATGGTATATTACATTACTATAATTCCAGCACCGAGGTGCTTTGACTATGGCATTTGCTACTTTGACTCTAGGTCTAAGCCCTTACACAGGGGGGATTTGAGTTTTGAACCTCAAATCTGAGTTTTATCAAACTCTGTTCTGCAGTGGGCCTTCTGGGCCCTTTGTTTCCCACCAATTAGCACTGAGACATAGACTTTCCACAGCTAAATTATTACAATACAGTTCACTATGTGGAAAGTGGAGGAACTGTTATATAGAATCAGAGGCTTATTTTATTTATGGCCTTTGTTGATCATATATAGACACCTTCCCACAGAAAAATCACTCAGTTGAAGTCATTTTATGGCTGATTATTTAATACTACCCCAGGTGACACTGAGTGCATTTCCTTCCCATCCCCCCACCTTCAAGGCAGTTCCCACCACCTTTCTTCCCCAAAGGCCCAGCATAGAAAATGCTTCCTCAGACCAAGTACCCACCTGGTGGGGGTTAGCCACAATGCCCCATAATCTGGGCCTGGCTCAGTGGGTGAGGCAGAATTCTGGGAAGTTCCTGAGTCTTCATCCACCTGCCAAAGCAAATTCATGACCATTTGTGTGGGAGAAAGAAGCATCTTTGAGGCCTGTCCTGTTAGTTGAGCGAGACCGAGGCGATGCCTCCAGGCCAAGGATGAAGCAATGTTTAGAATAACGTTCTGGAGTCTGCAACCTATTTGGCTTGGTATTAACCAGGTGAAACCATGGATAAAACTAATTTTCCCATCCTAACTTTGAATAGAGGACTAACACTCATGGGATCCAAAAGAACCTTCACTAAACATTAGAGGCAGAACTATGTGGCTAATGTTAGACACCCCCTCCAAAAAAATTATAAAGAGCCACAAATGGCTTGTCATTCAAGACAACCTCTGTGACTGTATTCAGTGGCCTTATATACTTAAGTCATTTGAGTTTCCTCCCCAGATGTGGAACACTCTATGCTATGGAAAACAGGAGTCAAATGACTCACCAAAAGCAGGGAGTAGTAGAGCCCACACGTTAACTCAGGACTCTGAATCCACCCTGAACTTCCTTTAATCCGTTTTCTAACCAGGTTTCCCTTATGCCTGACATAAAGTTGTTCAGTATACCTCTATCCCTACAGCCCCCATCATATAAGGAACATGCACTATTTCGTGTATCCCACATCATGAGATAATCGTGCTTATGCTCTCAGGACAATTCTGCAAGTAGGGTACACCTTGTGCTAGGAAAGTAAACTTAAGGAAACAACAGTTGTGAAAGGACTACTTCAGAAAACCCAGTTCTAGTCATAAGAGAACTGACTTATCTGTATCCAATCTTCATCTCACCAAACACCCAGAATCTAAACTTTACTTTCCTGCCTGAACCACTACATTTCCAAGCTTCTACCCACCTGCCTTGCCTCTAGTTCTAAAATGTAAGGAAAATAAGGAAAAACCATTATCAGTATTGATTTGTGTTCAGGTTTCATGTTTTAATTAGCTCCATAAAGGACATCCTAAACACATCAAACACAACAGAATATCTTTTCTTCCAGTATTAAAAAAATGACATTCACAAACATTTTAAAGAAGCTCTTCTATAACCAGGACAGTGCTTGAATAAAAAAACATGTCTAGGTAGTCATGATCTTGATTCAGATTGCTCATAGGTACATTCAGAAATCACTTTCTGGCCATAATAAACATTGTGTACAACTATTTTAAAAAGTCCCTAAATACATATTAATTTTCAAAGCATTAGCTTGACTAACTTTCTGGCCAGAAATAAACAACTTTTTTTGGGCATAAAGGAATATTGGTACCATAACCAATGTCTTAAAATTTGTCTTTAAAAGGAAAAATATGTTTAAACACATGGAGCTTTCTAAGAGGTCTTTATCAAACTACGTTGGGAGCTCAATTCAAAAATAGAACTTGATGTACTAAATAGATGTTTCAGCGCAGCTCCAAAAATCTTTATAAATACAGCAATTTGGAAGGACGATCCTGGATCAGAAGTGTTATTCCTTGTGTATCTGAGAATAGTAAGAAGGGGTAGAATTTTGATGTCAGGAAGAAAACAGGTTGATAACATGCTCATCTCCCAGAGTTTCTATAGATGCTGCACACCACCTCTTTATTTCTACCATGCCCCAGAGCAGATTACTTTAAGGACACCCCCAGCCCCCACCCCACAACTAGCTCTGGCATGCACCAAACAGCAAGAGCAGTCAAATGGTGTCGATAGACAGGTTAAGATACCAAGGTAAAGGGTAGTGTGGCCAGAAGACAAACAAAAGGGTCAGGACAGGTTTGAAGAACAGTTTGACTCAGTACAAATATTTAGGTCTCACCTACATTATGTGTGCATGCCCCATCTCAGTTGTCATAATTGTCTCTGTAATTTCCTCCTGAATAGCGCTCATAACCACCCTGGCTTCTGGGAAAAAGCGGGATTGATTTAAAGGAATGTGTTCTACATGGCAGAAAGTAACATTAAAAACTATACATGTCCATTTCATAATAGAAACTTTTAATAGAAGCTTTTTTGCGGTGATGGAAGGTTAAACTAGGCCCTGGAACAAGCAGGGTGATTATCTTTGTTACATCTGAGGAACACAATACTTTTAAAAAAGTATGATCAGAACACATGAAATATATGAGCACTAGTGAAAAGTACCATTTTCAGCATAAGCTGGGTATGAATATTAGGCTACAGAATTATTAAGAATTCCAGTACCAGCAGTATCCCAATCTCTCAGTACCCACCTGCCACTGTAGTCTCTAGACCGGCCATACCCGTACCCATATACTCCAGGTCTACTGTCGTATCTTCCACTTCCATAGCCCTGGTCTCCACCACCTACACGCAAAGATTTAGGAGCAGTTGTTCAGATACAGGCTAACAAATAGCTTTCTACCTCATCTCATAATCAAGTCACCACAGCACTTACCTCTAGAGTAGCTGCGACCGCGCCCATGGGCCAGAAAGGCACCCCCTCTAGTTCCCCGGGCAGACTTGCCTGCATGGTCCACACGGATCTGGCGCCCATCCAGAGACTAGGTGTGGGAAGGAGACAGACAAGGAGGGCCTGTCAGTCAGTCAGAGTAGAGACAAAGAAGAATGGGCACAGGCAGGTGGACAAGAGTCCAGAATTTCCTGCTGGGCACCAAATTCTGGGTGCCACGTTCCAAACAAAGCTCCTCTGACCAGAGTAGCTTCACCAGGAGCTACAGAATCCCACAAACGACCTGAATCCACCGTGCTCCCCTGCTACTACTTACATCTTGACTGAATCAGGCTGAGTTCTCCTCCCCACTCCTCTAAGCTGCCCGACTATTAGGGCTAGACACCTCTCTTGGTTTGAGGCTTCAGAGTCCATCCCAGAAGACTCACGAGGTCCTCTCCGGGCCAGGCCCACAGGTCTGCAGACTCTACTACCTAAGCCCAGGGCAGGTCAACCATCCACAGGTGGCTTCTCGGCCTCATGCAGGACCAGTCGTCGCCTCCCAGGCAGCCCGGCTCTGTGTGCCGCTGCCCTCCACCCCCTAGAACAGAAGGCATGTCATGCTCCTGTGAGTGGACACTGCGGGGCTTCGTGGCCACGCTGCCCCTGGCAGACAGAGGGAAAACAGAAAGAACGAAGAAAGTGGCAGACAGGGAGAAGGCTTCTCTGCAGGCAGGAGGCCTCACCTCTCCATTCATGGCTCTCATGGCGTCTGAGGCATGTTCTGGGTTGGTGAAGGTGATGAAGCCAAAACCCCGGGATCTTTGAGTCTCCCGGTCCTTGACAACAACCACTGGGAGAAGGGACAGAAATGTAAATGTTAACGCCCTAACACTTAAGTGTCAAGCAAGACGGCCAAGTCCTGTATGCAATTAGATTTTTTCTCAGCCTAAATTTACCTTAGGAACATGGGAAGTTAAGGTTATAATTATAATCCCCAGACTATACTAGCTCTTATCCGGCAACCCTCAACCCGTGACCACGGCTCACCCTCAGAGATAGGCCCAAAGCTGCTGAAGTGGTCTTCGAGTGCCTGCTCATCGGTGTTGAAGTTGAGCCCTCCCACGAAGAGTTTGCCCTCTTCAGAAGACATGGCAGAATGTAAATCCTATAGGGCGAACATGTGGAATATTGGGGAAATAGTGAAATGTCAAACGCCGGAAGACTGAAAATTACAGCAAACACAGAAAGCGGGTTAAGAGCAAGAGCAATAAATCAAATGGAAAGACTCGGGAACAGAAAAGGCGGGAACTAATAAGCAGAACGAACCCGTCCGCCATTTGACGACCGCTACGGCGCATGCCCACATCCCATGCCACCACACCCGTCATTTTGTATGGTCGCGCAGGCCTACAACAGCATTGCATTTCCTCTTTCCCCGCAGAACAAGATGGCGGAGGTCACGTGGGAAACGCCAGCCGGCAGATTGTCGGCATAGACTGTCGCGTGGTCACTGCCGCCACCAACCCAGCCTCCCATTCGGAGGCAGCACGCCAGTCTCGTTTGGTTTTTTTTTTCCTCCCTCGAGCCTGGGACTCGCCCTCCTTGGAGAAGCTCAAGCCTACTCGTCAGCCTCTAGTCTTCCTACTCTCGCCTCCCGCCCCTGCCGACAAGGAAATTGAGGCGAGGGACGACCACTATGCGCGAGACAAACGGTGCTTACCTGGAAAAATTAAAAGCCAAAAGACCAGAGACACAGCGAGCTCTGAGGAACGGGAAGAACAGAGAGGCACTCGCCCGGGAAGACGCCTGATAAAGCTTGCGTAGCCGGCTCGTCACGGAACGTGCCCCAGCGCGCCCTGGCGTGAGTGCTCATTGGTTAAGGCCAGCGGGGGGTTGGGTAAAGGGAGAGGAAGGCGGGGGAAGCAAATCGCCTTGCCACTTCCGGGAATAGAGACGAACTTTCTGACATGCGCAGTGCATCCTAAGTAAGCGCCTGCGTACTAGCTTAGACTTGCCCCCCGCCCCCCACCCCCGTTTCCTTTCACAAACGGTTTGATCCATATAGCCTTTTCCTTCCCGACGTCATGTCTCTCCTTTGATAGGAAGTCTTAGTTGACAGTAAATCAGTGCCAATGAACAGCAATCAATCTTTTTTTTTTTTTTTTGGTTTTTTGAGACTTGTGGCTTTGGAGCCTGTCCTGGAACTAGCTCTGTAGACCAGGCTGGTCTCGAACTCACAGAGATCCCCGTCTCTGCCTCCGAGTGTTGGGATTAAAGGCGTGCGCCACCATCGCCCGGCCTGCAATCAATCTTAATTAAATTCTTTTCTTTTTTTTTTCTATTTTAGATTTTAATGATAACCTGCGCTCGGGGCCCTAGCTTTCTTCTCAGAACCTCTCCTGGCTCCAGACAGCAAGATCCCCAATTAAATTCTTTTCTACTTCTTTAACCTCGGATCCCTCAAGGGCCCAATGTTTTATCCCTCCATGTCCCTAAAGTTATCACCTTCAGAGTTCTTGAAGTCAGACCGTACATTTCTGAGGGCTTAACCTCTATTACCCCTTTATCATCTGCCCATCACCCAGCCATGTTATGGGACCCTTTCCCTTGATGTCCTTCTCAACTCTGACTTCAGCTCACATCATTATCTGATAGCCTCTTTAAGCCTGATAGAGCTTCAGCAAAACAGGTATTTTGTCGTCAAAGGCTGCATGCAAATGCAACCCACTGAATCAATTTTGCTCTCTATTCAGGGTAATACTCTTGATCCAAAAGACTGAGTTTTGCAATGCGTAGTGAAATCCAAAGCATGTAGTGTCTGAGTCCACTGCCTAACAATTTGGTCTTTCCTGGCCTTCAAGTGTCTAATAATAACTTGCTTGCCTTCAGGGACTCTACATTTTTCACTCCTAGAATGAATTTGTTCAACATTGTAAAGTCCTGTCCCCACTCCACCACCAACCCCAACACAAATAGATCTGTTCACCTTCAGATGCTATTCACCTATGGTTCCTGTTAGGCTTATTCCTTATTTCTCAGGGATTTTCACGGATTATAGTGTTATTAAATTTTAAGTAGTATCCTTACTTAAATACATTTAATTTTTGATTTAATCATTTCTCACCCTATAAGCTACACCTCACTGCTCAGGACAGCTTGAAACTCATAAAGCTCTTGCTTCAGCTTCTCCAGTGCTAGAATCACAACCAACTTCTCTGTTTTTTTTTTAAAGAAGTCCTTTCCCCGCCAAGACTGAAAGATACTCATCTACACCTTATTCTGTTAGCTTTTAGTTTCCTGTTTTGCTTTTAGTTTAAGGTCCTCGACCCTTGTATAGGGTTTAGCTCAGTGGTAGAGTGCTTTCCTAGTATGTGAAAGTTCCTTGACTTATATCACAGCAGAAGGGAGAATTGTGTCTGGTTTTTACTGTGCCATTGAGCCAGGAAACTGAGGCAGGATTGTGAAGTTGAGGCTTTTAACAGGTTCCAAAATAACTTTGGCTACATAGTGAGACCCTGTACTGAAACAAGCAAACAGAAATTGGGCGGGTTTTTTGGGGGATTGCATTTTATGTAAAGATCCTGGGTATAATACCATGACATTATCTGTGGTTTTAAGCTATCTGCACACTGATGCTGCTCCCACTAAGATTTGGCACCTTGGGTAAGGTGGTGGTGGTGCACGTCTTTAATCCCAGCACTTGGGAGGCAGAGGCAGGCGGATCTCTGTGAGTTCGAGGCCAGCCTGGTCTACAGAGCTAGTTTCAGGACAGCCTCCAAAGCCACAGAGAAACCCTGTCTCGAAAAACAAAAAATAAAATAAAAATAAAATAGGGCATAAAATTAAAAATGTATTTATTTTTATGTGTATGGGTGTCTTGCTTGCATCCATGTCTGTGCATCATATGTATCTGGTGTTTATAGGGACCAGAAGAGGGCATTGGATCCCCTGGAACTGGAGTTATAGACGCTTGTGAGCCATCATGTGGGTGCTGGGAATTAAATTCTGGAGGAGCAGCCATTGCTCTTAACCACTGAGCAATCTTTCCAGCCCCTCCTTTCTTTCTTTTTTCTTTTTTTTTGTTTTTTCGAGACAGGGTTTCTCTGTGGCTTTTTGGAGCCTGTCCTAGAACTAGCTCTGTAGACCAGGCTGGTCTCGAACTCACAGAGATCCGCCTGCCTCTGCCTCCAGAGTGCTGGGATTAAAGGCGTGAACCACCATCGCCCGGCCCCTCCTTTCTTTATGAATGTGTTTAAAACTATATAAATTTTCTTTGCTCCACAAATTTTGTATGCAATACTTTTATTATCTTAAATAATTTATTTTTGTCTTTCATCTAAGGATTAGTGTCTCAAAACTGGGAGTTATTTTTTTCTAGTGTCTTGTTATTGCTAGTTTTATTATATATGGTTAGAGAATACACACACACACACACACATACACACACACAACTTTTCGTAGTGCTGAGGCTCTAATTGGGCTTGTACATTCTAAGCAAATATTCTAACACTTAGCCACACCTGCAACCTTTAATATTGATGCTCTTTGTGCCCTAAAAACTTGGTATCTAAGTTTTAAACTGTTAATATAAAAGGCACATTTTCCATTCAAGTTATATATTGGGTTTTTTGTTTTTGTTTTTTGTTTTGTTTTGGTCAAGTTGACAAGTCGTCTGGGCAGAGGGCACCCCATATGAGAAAATGCTTCCATTTGATTGGCCTGTAAGCAAGCCATTTTTCTTGTAAAATGATTGATGGAAAGAGGGCCCAGTCCACAGTGGGCAGTGCCATCCCTGGGCAGATGGTTCTAGGTTGTATGAGCTGAACAAGGCATAGAGAGCAAGCCAGTAAAAGCTGTGATGGCTATTCTTGGTTGACAATGTGAACACATCTGGAATGAACTAAATACAAAATGGAGGGCACACCAGTAGGGGAAGTTTTGCTTAATTTGAAGTAGGAAGGTCCACTTCTAATCTAGATCTTGAGGCTGGAAGATACATGTCTGGGTCTTGAGGTGGGAAGACACTCCTTTAATCTGGGCCATGCCTTCTGCTGGAAGCCTGTATAAGGACGTGGAAGAAGGAAGTTTTTGTTCTCTGTTTACCTTCACCTTGCAAGCAAGACCATCCATTCCTTTACTAACATTAGGGCCTACTTCTTCAGGACCCCAGTATATGCTGAAGACCAGCTAAGACTGGCAGCTTTGCGGACTGAGCAACTACTGGGTTCTTGAACTTTCCATTCCCAGCCGGTTGGGCTGCAGCCTGTAAACCATTCTAATCCTTCTTTATATATAGAGAGTAATCCCTAAATTCTGTGACTTCAGGGAACCCTGACTAAAAAAGCAGCTTCCTCTCGAGAAGCGCTGCGTCAGTCCCTGCTCCAGGTGCCTGCTCTGATTTTCCTTCATGATGAAAGCTATAAGGTGAAATAAACCCTTTCCTCCTCAGTTGCTTTTGCCCATCGTCTTTATCAATATAGCAATAGAAAGCAAATTAAGATAGATCTGATACACATATATCAATATTACTGTATCTATAGCTCTCTATATCTCAAGCTTAAAATGTGTTTGTGGTAGACATACCTTCCTTATCTGTATGAATCTTCACTGTCTTGTAATTTTGTGTGTGTGTATGAGAGATGAAGAGAGATACAGGGAGTGTGGGAGAGAGGGAGGGAGTGAGAGAGAGAGAGAACACATGTTGACATCAGAGGACAACTTTCAGGAAGTAATGTTCTCTCCTACCTTGTGCGTCCTGGGTTTAGAATTCTGGTCCTCCAGCAAGAGCCTTTATCCACTAGATTTCTTCAGTAAGAGAGAACAGGCAAAAACTTCTCCAACGCAACACGGAGAAAGGGTAGGAGCCATAATAACTTGCATTTCCCCCTAACATAGACTGTATTTGCTGCCTCCAGCCACCTGTCTCCCAAAACATACCAGTTCAAGACTGCCTCCTATGGAACTAAAGAGATGGCTCAGCAGTTAAGAGCACTGGCTTCTCTTCCAAACGACCCAGGTTCAATTTTCAGCACCCACATGGTAGCTCACAATTGTCTGTAACTCTGGTTCTAGTAACTCCAACACTCTCACACAGACATGCTGGCAAAACACCACTGTATTAAAAGCAAATAATTTTTAAAAGTTGAATAAAAGAAAGATTGCTATTAAAAAGAAAAAAGACTGCTTTTTATGTCCTCATGGGTCTCAGAGCTGTGCTACAATTTCTGGAACCCATGTTTTCTTAAAAAAAAAAAAAAACTGGCCGAGCGGTGGTGGCACATGCCTTTAATCCCAGCACTCAGGAAGCAGAGGCAGGAGGATCTCTGTGAGTTCGAGGCCAGCCTGGTCTACAAGAGCTAGTTCCAAGACAGGAAACAAAAAAAAAAAAAAAGCTACGGAGAAACCCTGTCTCAAAAATCCAAAAAAACAAAACAAAAAAGACTGGGTGGTAGTGGTCCATACCTTTAATCCCACTACTCAGGAGGCAGAGGCAGGCAGATCTCTATGAGTTTGAGGCCAGCCTGGTCTACAAGGTGAATATATATAATGTGTGTGTGTGTATAAATATAAAATATATTTGTATTTTATGCATGTGTATATTTATATATTATATACACACAAATATCAAACACATATGTATAATATACATAAAAATATATACGTGCACATTTTTGGTTTTCTGAGACAGAATTTCTCTGCATAGCCCTGGCTGTCCTGATACTTGCTCTGTAGACCAGGGA